CTCGTGAGCCCCTACGACAGGATAGGGCCTACACCTGTCTCTTATACACATCTAGATGTGTATAAGAGACAGCTCTCTCTCTCTCTCTCTCTCTCTCTCTCTCCCCAAACACACACACACACACACACACACGAGCGCGCGCACTATCGAAATATATTGTAATCTACCTCAGATGTAGTGACGCTTGCACATGGGGAATCGCAGGACCAGTAATCTGATCCGCGACATGCCGCAACAAAATCATCATCATCGTCACACAGTGCGAAGGAGATGGTACTAAAAGGGTTAGGAGTGTTCCGGATCGGTGTCCACGACATCTCTTCTTCTTCCTCCCTTTCGTGTGTCCTCCTTCCTCGTCTTCTGTGTTTGATTGGAACGTGGCGCTTCTTCAAAATGTGAAAGCGCCACTGCCAATTGGCACAGTGTGTGATGATGATGATGATGATGTCCACATTGGGTGCCTCGATAATTGGGTCCGAATATTGGGTTTTTCGTTTGTCAAAGGTCGCTTCTTGGGTGAAAGGTCGTGCTTTCCTCGCTACGTCTGCCAAAGGTCGGTCCTTGGGTAACGTGTGCACTGTTTAGGTAGGCGAGTGTGTGTGTGTGTGTGTGTGTGTGTGTGTGTGTGTGTGTGTGTGTGTGTGTGTGTGTGTGTGTGCGTGTCAAATGCCATATCATACTGTAAATCAACGAAATAAAAATTCAGTTATTTGAACGGAAAAAAAAAAAAAATAATGACAACCAATGAATGAAACTAACAAATAAACGGTCGATCAAACAACCTTTCAACCAATAAATCAATCAATAAATCGATCAGTAGTGCGAATGAAGTTATGACTTCATCGTTCAGTCGATCAATCAATGAATCCATCAATCATTTTTTCGAACAGTCCATTTTGTGGAAGTGTGAAAATTTAAGATGTCACAAATGAATCGTCTTCCGTTTTTAATAGCCTGACACGAAAAAAAAAAAAAAATCAATAAAATCACCGTCAAAAAAAAAAACAGTCCGAGGCTAGTTGTAGATGTCGGTCGTTTCAGTACGTATAAACACGATATTACGTTTTGTACAGTACGAACAGGTACAGAGTTGAAGATAGCGGAATTAAAAAATAGGTAAGTCACGATGGGAATTGGTGTGCCCTATTCTGTTTGCGACGTTTTGTTCCGTCCTCAGGGTATTTCGAATAACGGACGTGGAATATGGTTTCGGTTTTTGTTTTTTTTTAAGTGTTGGTTATGGTGCTTTTTTTTTTTTTTTCCCGTAGTCTTTGTTTGTATCCCGGTTGGTTTTGTCTCGTTGTTCGGTCAACGTGGCGGTGGTTTCATGTGTGACTGGTTCATCATTTTTTTTAATTTTTTTTTTAATCCTAATTAGCTGGTTCCCATTGTTTGACCTTTTGATGGGAGGCGGTTCTTTTAGGTCGGATTCGTCATCTAGGATTGTCTTCATATACTTGTATTTGCAGTCAAGGGTGTTGATTACTATCTTGGTTGGTGATTGTCCCTTCGTTTGGCTTGATAATGTGGGTTTGGTAGTGGGAGGGGTGGGGGGGTTCCTTGAATGTGGGACTTCTCATGTAGGATTTGTTATGTTTGTTTTTCGGGACCCTTGTCTGATGTGTATAAATATGTATTTGAAACGTTTTTTTTTTTTTTTTTGCAGGCAAGAGTGTTTTGATGTCATGGTTGGTCTTATCCCCTTGTTTGGCATGTGAAGTTTTGGGCGGTGCTTACATGCGGGGCTTGTCATCCAAGACGTTGTTGCCCCCTATTTTGTTATTCACATGTTTTTGTTTCCTTTTGTTTTTTTTCGGTTTTCTACTCTGATAACTTTAAGACAACATATATGTATCGCAGTTGATCCTGAAGTAAGAGCGGTTGAAGAAATCGGAATTCATCACAGTTGTGATGCAGAAGATATACCCGTACGGTTCGATGACGAACGACCACTGGCAACAATTGACTGTTGATCCTGACGGTGTGACGGAGTTTCATGCGAATGAGGTTGGGATGTGGTTCCTCCGCGCTTGTGAGCTTTGCAGGGACGAGGGTGAAAATGCTGACAGTTTGCACCACAATATCATGATGATCCTCGATTATTGGGCTGACGATCATTCAAGGTGCGTCGGTGAAAGGAAGTTTTTGTGCGAGAAGGCAGGTGGGCCGGGACGATTGTCGTTGTATAGTAGCGTGGACGACGTGTACAAAGTCATTCTACATGTTCTGGGGAAACAATGCAGCACGAACATCACCTCGTACTACACCGAGTTTCGTCATACATCGACGGTGGAAACTTTTCAAGGCACCATTATCATATCCGGGAAGAAGTTTGTGCATTTCGAAAAATCCTATAGTGCGCAAGTGTCGATCACAGTTATTCGGTGGAACAGTCACTGTTAACACAAACCGATCGAGTGTCGTGCTCGCATGCCTGCCAACACTTCCATACGTCCCAAATCTGGTTTTTATCGGCATAATGAGCCTGCAGACGACTCTTGGGTAAACCGGTTGGCAGCATTTGTGTTTGGTTCGTCTCGGGTGTCAGACTGGGCCCGACGTCTTGTACACCACGAGAAGTGTCGTTTTGGAGGTGGGCCTGAGTCATCGCCGCTTCCATTGCCGCACGATCTGTTTGTGGGGGATGGAGATGTGCGTGTTGATCTTGTAGATGATGCTGACTCCAGTTCGGACCACGATATTATGAGGGACACCGACATTTTCATTGTTGGTGATGAGTTGGAGGATGTTGGGATTGGAGGTCATGATTCCAGTCATACATCGAGCTCGGAATCAGAGGGTGACGATATTGAGACGCCTAGCATTTGACTTTCAGTGCCTCTCACTTGCTATTCATCAAGCTGTTTTTTTATCGTTTTACATAATGTTGATGCACGACGTGGTTACGCTTTTAGTGGTTGCGATCAGAGATGTCATGATATCTTCTTTGTTATGGTTGTTTGTTCTTTGTTTCTTTTCGTTATATATATATATATATATATATATATATATATATATATATTCACCACACCGTACGTACGGACGTCCCTAGGTCGACCCCAATATGTACGGGCGTTCGGGGTCCCATTCGAGGTCCGAACCCGAAGGCGTTCGTCCCCCGCCATACTATGTTGCACGCTGGCCGCGACCGGGTTCGGCCCAGGCTGCGGCCGCCGGCCTAGGCCAAGACCCCCCCGGCCGCGGCCGCTCCGGCCAAGAACTTTCGGCCGCTAACGTGGCCGATCGG